CTGACCTCAAGTGAGCCACCCACCTTGGCCTCCCAAAGTGCTGGGATTACAGGCATGAGCCACTGCACCCACCCTGCTCTCTTGTCTTTTTGGGGTTTGTCGTTGTTGTATGTTTGTTTTTCTGAGATGGGAGTTTCACTTGTTTCCCAGGCTGGAGCGCAATGGCACGATCTTGGCTCACTGCAACTTCCATCTCCCGGGCTCAAATGAGTCTCCTGCCTTAGCCTCCCAAGTTGCCAGGATGACAGGCACACGCCACCACACCCAGCTAATTTTGTAGTTTTAGTAGAGATGGGATTTCACCTTGTTGGTCAGGCTGGTCTTCAACTCCTGACCTCAGGCAATCTGTCCCCACCCTGGCCTCCCAAAGTGCTGAGATTACAAGGCCACCCTCTCCCCAGCTGCTTCTCTCAAAGACAAGATGCACAGTCCAGAGGAAATGCTTTTATTTTTGCTCATAACCTCCCAAAAAAATTAGTACCCCACCATCCCTCACCTAGACACAGCCCCACTCCAACACCTTCACAAAACACTGATTTTCCCCCAGAGCTAAAATGAACCCAGTCACCCATCCACTACTGCCCATCCTCCCACTCTGCAAACCTGGCCACCTTTAGGCTTCCTCCCCTGGCCTGCTTTTGGCCTGTAGGATACGTGTCCCCTTCTTAAAGCCGCCCCGACTTACACCCTCATTTGCATAGCGCCTCCACCCACCCCAGAGAACCACCTGTAGGAAACCAGGTTTGAAAAGCAAGAGACCAGGTTTCCAAGCTCCCAGCTGCTTCCTGCATTCCCTGTGGGCCTCGGTGCCTCCGCTGTTACATCTCGGGCACAGACAGTGACTAAGGCCAAACATTTCATGATGTGGAGGTAAGAAGAGGGAAGAAAATCCAGAAATACAAAAGAGGTGATAAAAGCAGAGGGGAGCTGGGTGGTTTTGGGGAGCAAAGGGTTGATTTTTTTTTTTTTTTAATAGAGACAGCGTCTTGCTATGTTGCCCAGGCTGGTATTGAACTCCTGGCCTCAAACGATCCTCCTGCCTTGGCCTCCCAAAGTACTGGGATTACAGGCATGAACCACTGCACCTGGCTGACAGAGGGGTTTGGAATGAAGGTGGAGGCAGGGGGATGATGGGGCCAGGGCTGAAGACCAGCCCTCAGAAGCCACGCCCCACCCTTCTAGCAGCTGCGGGTCCTCTGGCTCCGGGCCTTGTACACCTCGATGAGCAGGTCCTTGACGTACTGGATCTCGCGCTCCACAGACTCTGCCCGTTCCCTCAGCTCACGGTTCCGAGCCTCCAGCCCCTGGCACTCGCCCTCCAGGGCCTCACCCTCTGCCCGCTTCCGCTGGCGGTACCTCAGAGCTGCCGACTTGTTCTGGTCTCTCTTCTTTTGCTTGCGGTCCCCTCGGGGGACGGTGGGATGGGGGTAGGGGGCCGGGCGAGAAGGTTGAGGTGGAGGAGGAAGAGGGGGCTGCTGTATCGGCGGCAGGGGCGCCATCCCCGCCTCCCCCTGCCTGCCCTCGTTGCGGCAGTAGATGGCCAACAAATCCAGAGTATCCAAGATAGGGGCCTGGGGGAGGTCAAGGGAGGGGAGGGGGAGAGGGAGGGACGGGGCTGCTGGCGGTGGTGGTGGCAGTGGCGGCAACAGCGGCGGTGGGGAGGGGGGCGGGAGGAGTGGGGCATCTAGGAAGAAGTCTTCCATCTGTTCCAGCTCCTTCTTGAGGAGGGAGGCCATAGCTTCCAGGTCAGGTGGGGTTGGGGAAGGTGGGGGGAGGGTGCCTGGGGGCAAGGGGGGCTCCAGAGGGAGGAGGGCTGTGAAATCAACTCGCTCAGTCATCCAGTCAGAGAAGCCATCACCTGGGATTAAAGTGGGGGGAACACAAAATTGCCTGAGTTGCTGGAGGGTCCCAGGAAAAAGAATAAAACTTTAAAAAGAAAAAAAAGCAGCAGCCAACAATGACTCAATCAACAGTCAACAAAGCATTTCTTCAACCATTCCAACATCTCATTTACTCTGTATCTGCGGTGTCTCTATTCTTAAAAGGCAAACTAAATCACATCACCCACACGTGTGCGCGCACACACACCTTGTTTCATCTTTACTCATTAATTATTGAAAACCCACTATGTGCCAAGCATTTAGGCTACAGTAATGAATGAAATGATTCCTGCCCCAGGAGGCCTTCTGCATATGCTGTTCCCTCCAACTAAAATGCTCTTCCCTTGGGTGTTTTCTTGGCTCATTCCTTCCCTCCTCCTCCTCCTTTAAGAGGGTTTCACTCTGCTGCCCAGGCTGCAGTGCAGTGGCACCATCTTGGCTCACTGCAGCCTAGACCTCCCAGGCTCAAGAGATCCTCCCATCTCAGCCTCCCAAGTAGGTGAGACTACAGGCATGTGCCACCATGCCCGGCTAATTTTTAAAAAATTTTCTATAGATATGAGGTCTCACTATGTTGCCCAGGCTGGTCCTGAACTTCTGGCCTCAAGCAATTGCTGGGATTACAGGCCACCATGCCTGGCTTCCTTCCCATCCTTTATGCCTCAGTCAACATGTTACCTACTTGGAGAAGGTTTCCTGGCTACCCTTTTTTTTTTTTTTCCCCCTGAGACGGCGTTTCACTCTTGTTGCCCAGGCTGGAGTGCAATAGTGCAATCTCAGCTGACTGCAACCTCTGTCTCCCAGGTTCAAGCGATTCTCCTGACCCAGCCTCTCCAGCAGCTGGGATTACGCCTGTCACCACACCCAACTAATTTTTGTATTTTTAGTAGAGACAGGGTTTCACTATGTTGGCCATGCTGGTCTCAAACTCCTGACCTCAGGGGATCCGCCTGCCTCAGCCTCTCACAGCGCTGACCGGTGTGAGCCACCCCGCCCGGCTCCTGGCTACTCATTCTAAATTAGGTCCCCTTTGGCATTTTTTCTTTTCTTTTTTTTTTTTTTTTTGAGACGGAGTTTCGCTCTTGTTACCCAGGCTGGAGTGCAATGGCGCGATCTCGGCTCACCGCAACCTCCGCCTCCTGGGTTCAGGCAATTCTCCTGCCTCAGCCTCCTGAGTAGCTGGGACTACAGGCACGCGCAACCATGCCCAGCTAATTTTTTGTATTTTTAGTAGAGACGGGGTTTCACCATGTTGACCAGGATGGTCTCGATCTCTTGACCTCGTGATCCACCCGCCTCGGCCTCCCAAAGTGCTGGGATTACAGGCGTGAGCCACCGCGCCCGGCCCCCTTTGGCATTTTGTAGCTTAGCTGCTAGGTGTTTCTGACTTATTCCAACACACCCTCATTTAATTTGTCTCTGGGCTACTCCTCAGAGTGTGAGCTGCTGGAGGGCACAGACCATGTTCTTCCGGTTCCCGGCTGTATCCTCACACCTAAAACAGCGCCTGGCACAAGGTAGGCACTCAATATTTACTGAATACATGAATGAGTTCTTCCTCCCCCATCTTCCCCTGCCCTCCACTCCCCAGCTCCACCTTCCACTTGCCGTTACCTGCCAGGGGCTCTCCCCCCACTGGAAGCCCGCCCTCCAGGGCTCCCCCCAGAACTTCATAGGGAGCCAAGGGGGCAGGGGCCGGGGGGAGTTTCCCATAGTCTACGAGCCATCCCAGCCCGCTAGCTGGGAGCAGGGCCCTGTCCAGCTCCAGCCCCAGGGTCGCCAGGAGTGACATGGCGGTAGCACAGGTGCTGGGCACTGATGGCAACAGGAGAGGCTGCAGCAGCAACTGGGACGAGGTTCTGGAGGTTGCTCAGCTGGGCGATGACGGGCACCAAGGCGAAAGTGGAAGACCTACACGCGTGAGACAAGAGTGGGTGGGGTCAGGACCAGCCTCGCCCACCAGCCAAAAATCACGGGGAAGCCAAGCCACACCCCCAGGCACGTCCATGGGGCTCCTTCCTCCCCCTTCCAACCAGGGTTTGGGAGCCTCACCCTCAACGAATTCTAAATTTGCCCTTTCTTTCCCCAAATCTCTGAGCCCCACCCACCACCAAGGAACTCGCTATAGGTACTAAGGTAGGACCGATGCCCCACCTCTTCCCCCAATACAGAACCTAAGGGTATCCCTGGGGGATTACCTTAGGCCCCTCCTATCCACCTCAGAATATTTCGCTTCATAGAAAAACTCAATCCTAGGGACATTTTTTTCCAGCCACGCCCCTTCCTCTAAAATATTTCCTTTCGGCCCCACTGCCTTCCTAGCTTTCATCCCAAATCAGTTCCCAGGGGAACCGCTCCAGGTCCCAGACTTTTAATGTTGTCCACTAAAATCCTACGCCTCGCCTTGCCACTGCCCCTCCAAGCCCCGCCCCTCATTGTTTATTTAGCTCCGCCCCCGATTCCCTAGAGGCCCCGCCTCTTTGTCCCATCCCTCAGCTGTTGCCTTGGCCCCGCCCCTTCTCACAATGGACTCCCTAAGTCCCACCCATCGTGACGACGTGGTTCTGGTTCCACCCGTTTAAAGAGGCCCCTCTAAGCCCCGCCTTCTGCCCTGTCAATCTACGTGAGTCCCTGCCTCAGCAGGTGCCTAGTTGAAATGGAAGAAAGCTGTGCTGTGAGTCAGAGCAACGTGGAGCCGGAAAGGTGGAGGAGGGTAGAGGAGATTGGCAGGGAATGGCTACCCGAACGCCACCTGTCTACACACGGCTCTGCCGCCGAGGGCCAAAGTACATGCTCCGCCGCCGGAGCGGTCCAATTGCTTTTACACCGCCGCCCTCCTGGGGATCACTGCGCGTGTGTGACGCCGCACAGGACCCGCCGCTCATTCATACGGGGCACTAGTGGGCTACTGCGCAAGAGCAACCAAGCGCGCACGGAATCGTTTAGAAAAAAGCACACCCTCCCCTGGAATGCGCAGGCGCAGCCGCACGCGGGCTGACAAACACCAAGTCTAGAACTCTCCCACACGGCCTCGGGCCCAGTGCGCACGCGCAGCCGCGCGCCTTCGGCCCGCCGTCCCTTTTCTGCGCCTGCGCGACCGTCATTCCCCGCTCGTGGTTCCCCACCCCCAGGGCTCCCTAAAGACGGCCACGAGCTGCGAAAGCGCGGGAAAGGCGGTTGGACAGGGAGAAGCGAGCGGTTACTCACTCCATGGCTGCGGCAGGAAGAGGCAGCGGTGGCCTCGGCTGAAGAAAGAAGGTGGGAGCGGAGAGCGCAGGCGCGGAGACGGGCTGGGGGCACAAAGGGGTCGCGGCTACAGAGCCATGGCCGGGGCTACGCGGGCGGAGGAGGCGACGCTGTAGTGACAAGACTGAACCGAGGACGGGGAATGAGGCGGCCCCGGGGACTGGGGATAGATATATCCGGGGTGGCGCAGCACGGCCCGCCCGGATCCTTCCGCGCCCCGCCCTCGCGCGGCCCCAAGCGGGAGGCAGCCAGGTCCTCTCCTCGTGGGGATCAGAGGGTCCGACTCCCTACTTCCCTCTCACAGGCTCCGGCCCTCTCCCTCTGAGCCAGGGTCCGGCCCTCTCCTGCTTGTGGCTCCGAGGTCTGATTTTTCCTTGTGACTCTAGGCTCTGGTTTCTCTTTCTGCCTCTGAGGTCTGGGCCTGCCTCCTCCTGTGATTGAGGATCCAGGCTTATTCTCTTCCCGCAGACCGGCACCAGTTAATTTCCCTTTCCCTGCTTCCAGAATTTGCTGCCAGCCACACGTTTCATCTCCATCCCCCAACTGCTGACCCTTAGAACCCTCGTGGGTTAGAGTCCAGCATGAGTCACAGCCCCCTCCGAAACGCAGACCTGCCAGGATGGCCGCCGGCAAATAAGTTTCCTCACCACGTTTCCCTGTCTGCAAAATAAGAAAATCAACTCTCCTGGTGGGTTTATGAGACTCAAGACAGTGTGTCCGCCAAGCTTTATGCACAGAGTTCAACTCATACATTCCTGTTCAACATTTTTTTTGTTGTTGTTGTTGAGACAAGAGTCTCGCTTTGTCACCCAAGCTGGAGTGCAGTGGTGCAGTCTCGGCTCACTGCAACCTCCACCTTTCGGGTTCAGGTGATTCTTCTGCCCTCAGCCTACCGAGTAGTTGGGACTACAGGCACGAGCCACCACTCCGGGTTAATTTTTGTATTTTTAATAGAGACAGGGTTTCACGGTGTTGGCCAGGATGGTCTCTATCTCTTGACCTTGTGATCCACCCGCCTCGGCTTCCCAAAGTGCTGGGGCTACAAGCGTGAAGTACCGTGCCCAGCCGTATTTTATTATTAATAGAAACTCTGGGGCCCAGTCTCACTTCTTCCTCCCCGCTTGCAAGAGCCGCAGGCGTTGGACTGTCCAACACCTGCTGGTGGGTCATTCTGTCTCCCTCATTCCTCCAAAGTGTCCGCTTTGTCTCACCTCCCATTCCAAAGGATGGGTGCCCAGGCCCCATCCCCTGGCAGGGATTCATGCATCAAGTCCCCAGCTTCGTTCTTTTCTCCATCCCTTGCCTTGGCTTCCTTTCAGACAGGCCTTAGCCTCCACTGGATAGGAGCTATCTCACAACCCTGCCAAAAATGGAAGATCTCTGTTTCCCTTTAGTCAAAGACAGGGTAGCCATCTTGCCCCTTCTGCACTGGGCCCTCCACCAGCTAAAGTGGATGCTGGTCTTTTCTCTGTTGCAGAAACCCACCTTGTCCCATCCACATCAGGACACCCCAGCTGGAGCTCAACCTTCATCCCTTCTGTGGCAGTTAAGAGAGTGAATCAAGGTCCAGAGAAGGTGGAGGAACCTTGGTATTGAGCGTTACACACAAACTTCTTTCTCCTCCCTTCCCTGTGGCAGTCAGATCCTTCTCGGGATCTGACCACCTTCTCTTGGAGCACTTACTGTCCACTCTGCCAGTTTCTGAGCACTTGCCCTGTATTTCCTTTCGCTGTAGGGGCTGTGTTATCACCTATGCAGTATGTAGGGTAGCGGCTCAGAGCACAGACTGAGCTTGTCCCACCCAAGTACGTACATGGACCCACCCATGTACGTGGGTCCACATGTAGCCCAGAATGTTCCTAAAACATGCAAATTTTTTTTGGCGATCTGATTTATTTATCTATTGCTCATCAGCTATTGTTAGTGTATTTTATGTGTGGCCCAAGACAATTATTAGTGTGGGCCCAGGAAGCCAAAAGAGTATCCATCCCTGGCATAGACTCTGGAGCCAGATTATATGAGTTCAAAACCTAACTGCACCCCACTTATTAGCTGTGCGACCCTAGTCATTTCCCTTTCCTTTGCCTCAGTTTCCCCTTTAGTACAAAGTGGCATTAACAGTACCTGCTGCTGGGCCATGTGCAGTGGCTCACACCTGTAATCCCAGCATTCTGGGCAGATTGCTTGAGGTCAGAAATTGACCAGCCTCGGTAACTTGGTGAAACCCCATCTTTACCAGAAATACAAAAAAAATCTGGGTGTGGTGTTTTGCACCTGTGGTCCCAGCTACTCGTGAGGCTAAGGCAGGAAGATCACTTGAACCCTGGGGAGGGGCGGAGGTTGCAGTGAGCCGAGATTGGGCCACCAGACTCCAACCTTGGTGACAGAGTGAGACCCTGTCTCAAAAACAGTTCCTAACTCTTAAGGCTGTTATGAGGATTAAATGAGTTAATTCGTGTCAAGCAGTTAGACTGCGCCTGGTACACAGTAGGTGCTGTGTAAACGGTGGTTACTGTTATTGCTGTGATTAAGGTGGATGTGTTCTCTTTCTATTCCTGTGCAGTAGGTGCTTTCAAACTATTTACAAAGGAGATTTCAGGACCAACTTCCTTCCACTTCTCAGTATAGGTTTTTGAGCAAAAGCAGATGAAATTAAGGGTAGACTGTTGGACAGACTGCCAGTGGTAAGGAGGCATAGTTGTACCGTGCCCACCCCCACCCCGCCAGAATCTTCTCATAAGAAGACCTAGATTATACATGGGGAGTGGGTTTTTTTGTTTGTTTTCTTTTGTTTTTGAGAGGGAGTCTCACTCTGTCACCCAGGCTGGAGTGCAATGGCGAGATCTTGGCTCACTGCAACCTCCACCTCCCAGGTTCAAGCAGTTTTCCTGCCTCAGCCTCCTGAGTAGCTGGGATTACAGATGCATGCCACCACGCCCATCTAATTTTTGTATTTTTTAATAGAGATGGTTTCACCATGTTAGGCTAGTCTCAAACTCCTGACCTCGCGATCCGCCTGCCTCAGCCTCCCAAAGTGCTGGGATTACAGGCCTGTAACAGGTTTAGACTTTCCTTGTCCTTCATGACCTTGACAGTTTTGAAAAATGCTGGTTGGGTATTTTATGGAATGTGCTTCCATTTGGTTTTGTCTCATACTTAGACTGGGATTGAGGGATATCGAGAGGATGGCCAGGTAGGATACTTTTCTTTTTTTTTGAGACGGAGTTTTGCTCTTGTTGTCCAGGCTGGAGTGCAATGGCATGATCTCAGCTCACCGAAACCTCCACCTCCCAGGTTCAAGCGATTCTCCTGCCTCAGCCTCTTGAGTAGCTGGGATTACAGGGTGTGCATCACCACGCCTGGCTAATTTTGTATTTTTAGTAGAGACAGGGTTTCGCCATCTTGGTCAGGTTGGTTTCAAACTCCCGACCTCAGGTGATCCGCCCATCTTGGCCTCCCAAGGTGATGGGATTACAGGTGTGAGCCACTGTGCCCTGCCGGGCCTGGGTATTTTTTTTTTTTTTTATGGTGAAAAGATATACGTATATTTAGAATTAGCCAGCTGGACTCAGTTTAGATTATCCCAGTTTTGTTGGCAACATCCAAAACTTCATAACCAGGAGCCAGTCGAACATGCGCCTTCTTCTCTCCATCAGGCCGAATCAGGGTGTTGACCTTGGCCACATCAATGTCATAGAGCTTCTTCACAGCCTGTTTGATCTGGTGTTTGTTGGCTTTAACATCCACAGTGAACACAAGTGTGTTGTCTTCTGTCTTCTTCATGGCAGACTCAGTGGTCAGCGGAAACTTGATGATAGCATCGTGGTCCAGCTTGTTTCTCCTGGGGGTCTTTTCCGAGGATATTTGGGCTGCCTCCGGAGTCGCAGTGTCCTGAGCCTCAGGAAGGTGGGTGACGTGCGGATCTTCTTTTTTTTGTGGCTGTGGACACCTTTCAACACTGCCTTCTTGGCCTTTAAAGCCTTCGCTTTGGCTTCGGCTTTAGGAGGGGCAGGAGCCTCCTTCTTCGCTTTCGGTGCTGTCTTGTGAAAAGGGTCCGGGCCTGGGTTTGGTTTTTTTTTTTGTTTTTTTTTTTTTTGAGACGGAGTTTCACTCTTGTTACCCAAGCTGGAGTGCAATGGCGCGACCTCGGCTCACCGCAACCTCCGCCTCCTGGGTTCAGGCAATTCTCCTGCCTCAGCCTCCTGAGTAGCTGGGATTACAGGCACGCACCACCATGCCCAGCTAATTTTTTGTATTTTTAGTAGAGACGGGGTTTCACCGTGTTGACCAGGATGGTCTCGATCTCTTGACCTCGTGATCCGCCCGCCTCGGCCTCCCAAAGTGCTGGGATTACAGGCGTGAGCCACCGCACCTGGCCTATGGGTATTTTTTAATAACCTCGTCAGTAAGAGAATTTTGTTGCTGACTGTGTGTGGTTTACACTGGCTGCAGAGGCATCTGGGCAGGGACTCTGCTTCCCCTCCCCCACCTCAGCCCTTTTGCCTTTTTCTCTCTCTAGCTATTGGGTCCCAGCCACTTCAGCCCAGCCCACCCAAGCAGCTGGACTCAGTACTGAGTGGGTACCAGTTCCCACCCTTAGCTCTCCAGCCCCTTCTAAGCTGTTCTAATTCACCGTGGGTTGTCAGCGGTTGCCTGCAGCCCCTGCTCCCCAGGTCTTTGAACTGTGAGTCCTCTCTTGGGCCCATTCCTGACCCAGGCCTTTGGCCCCTTCAGGACTCATTCCGTGGCCTTCCCTAGCCTCTAGCTCCCCTGGCCTTCCCTAGCCTCGAGCTCCCCTTCAAATCCTCAGCTGGAGCTTGAAGCAAAGGTGGGGCTACTGGACTCTTTCTTGGTGCGGAGGGGCCTGGCTTGGGGAGTGAGGCGGTGATTACAGGCAGGTTGCATCAGCCCTGGCTCTTTGATGGGGAGGGGAAGTTGGAGGATTCTCTGGGGGCCCTAGCACACCTGGCAGCCACTCCTGGTTAGTAGCACAGCATGAGGGGGTGGGGCAGAGAGAGGGAGAGGGATTGCCCGCCCCCCCTCCCCCCCTCCCCCGCAGGACCCTGAGAACCTCAGGCTTGGTGCTGAGAGGGGCCTCAGATGACAGAGGCTTGTTAGCAGGAGACAAGACTGGGATCCCGAGAGGTAACGGGGATTGTGAACAGCTCCCAGGGGCCTCAGGCCCATGGTATAGGCTCTGGTAGGTCTCCAAGTCCCGACCCTCACCTCAGGCCTACTGCTCACGGTTGCCAAATGCTATCGCCCTGCTATTGCTGCAACCTCTCGCTGCTTTCCCAATCAAGGTGGCCTCCTGTGTGATGGAAAAGGCTCTGAGGTTTGCATCAGACAGAGCTGGGTTCTGGTCCTAAGCCCAGCACCAAGTTTTAGACTGGAATGTTGGCAGGGCCCTCATCTGGCAGAACAGGTCAGAGTGTGGGCCCTGGATCTGTGCCGGGTTCACACCCAAAGTCCACCCCTTCTGTGACCCTCAGCAGGTAGCATCCTCTCTCTGTGACTCAGTTCCCCCAACTCTGCCACTTCTGTGATCCATAGCAAACAGCATCCTTGCTCCGTGACTCAGTTTCCCCCGCTATAAAATGGGGATGAAATGGTCCGTTGCACATGGTGGTTTTGAGAGTTAAATGTGTAAATGTGTGAAAAATACCTAGAGCAGGCCCTGGCATACAGGAAGTGCCCTGTGATCGTTCTGCTCTGGAACCTGGTGTGGGAGCGCCATGGAGATGGTGTTGGTGAATCCAGTGCCTGCTGGAGCCCAGGTCTATGCATGCTTCTCTGTTCCCGCCACGCCTGCTTCTGCTTTCAGATCCACCCCGCACAGATGTCTGCCTACGTGACTGCTCCCCCGAGCACTTCCAGAGCAAAGTCAGGGCCCTCCTCATTCCCAGAATCGTTCCCCACAACCCCCAGCCCTGTGCTGCTATTTCCGTAGGTATCAATACATTTTCTAATGAGTTAGCACAGGGGCCAGGGAATGTGACACTGAGGTCCCTGAGAGGAGCCAGGGAGGGGAACTGGGTCACGTAGGCCAGGGCTGCCGGGGTTGAAGGTGGGCGTCCTGGCAAACAAGGGCAGGCAGGCCAAGGCCAGCTCAGTTACGGGGAGGATGACATGGGGGCTGGGAGGTAGCACAGGCTGCCACGCGGCCCAGAGTCCGCCAGAGCCCCTTCCCTCCCTCACGCCAACCTTGTCCCTTTATCAGAAGCAGTCACAGCTCTTACAAAAAAGGACACAGCAAACTGATGACAACTGACAGTGTCCTAGAGCCCAGGAAGCCGTCACTTAGTGCTATGTGACCTGGGACAAGATACTGCACCCTCTGACCTGTGGTTGCCTCATCAGTAAAATGGGCACAGTAATAGAACTACCTCAGGGCAGTGTGAGGGACAGGGAGTTGACACGGGAAAAGGCCTGGGCCCCTGAAAGGCACCGGGGCCACGGCAATGCTGGCAGAGCTGCTAGCTTCACAGGAGAAGCTGAAAATCCAGATTTGTGTGTGTGTGTGTGTGTGTGTGTGTGTGTGTGTGTGTGTGTGCGCGCGCGCGCGCCGTATTTTAAAGGTAGGCAAGTAATTCAGAAAAACCTGGAAAACCCTGGCAAACCACAGCTGTGGACAGGACTCAGGCAGCTGGCCCTCTGTGACCTTTGTGTTCAGTGACTTTCCCTCCCCACAGCTGTCGTCATCTCTGCCCATAGAGAGCAAAAGGAACTGAGCCCTCATTCCAAAAGTCTCCAAGGACTGGGGCTGGCCCCTCTGCGCCGGACTTCACCGGCAGGGAGACAGAGCAGGGCCTCGTAACTCAGCTCCGTCCCGTGTGAAGTGGGGGAGGACCATGTTTCTAGGGAGCAGAGAAGGAGGTCTCTAGAGAATCCTTCCTTAGGGTCGGGATGCCTGCTGGAAGCGGGGGCTGGTGTCTCATTACTGTCTTCTATCTTGCCATCCACACCCCCAGCCAGAGGCCACCAGGAGCACATCACTCATTGTGGCAGGAAGACTGTCCTTTGCAGGGACCCGAAGGACACCTCAATAAGGAGGCATTCGGACTAACTTTAGGAGTTGGGCTGTGTCATGTGACTTTGGGGTGGGTTGAACGGAGTGGGGCTTTGCTCTGAGTGGGAGACTGGTGGGAGCATGGGCAAGCCCATAACGAGGGTCTGTTTGACCCGGAGCCAGGAGAAGCAGAGGGAGCTAGTGCCGGGGTTCGTTGAGAAATAGCCGGCAGCTCTTGAGCCAGGAGGGGTGTGTGGTCACTCTGTGGTTCAGACTTCGTGCTGTCTGTGTCGAGACGTGACTCAGGAATGGTCAGCTCTGGTTCGGACTTGGTGCTGTCTGTCAAGACGTGACTCAGGAATGGTCAGCTCTGGTTCGGACTTGGTGCTGTCTGTGTCAAGAGGTGATTCAGGAATGGTCAGCTCTGGTTTGGACTTGGTGCTGTCTGTCGAGACGTGACTCAGGAATGGTCAGCTCTGGTTTGGACTTGGTGCTGTCTGTCGAGACGTGACTCAGGAATGGTCAGCTCTGGTTTGGACTTGGTGCTGTCTGTGTCAAGAGGTGATTCAGGAATGGTCAGCTCTGGTTCGGACTTGGTGCTGTCTGTCGAGACGTGACTCAGGAATGGTC